ACACTCTTTATATATATATATATATATATATATATATATATATATATATAAATATTTAATTGTATGTGTTCTAATATTATATTGCAAAATATTTGTAATAATTTTAATGTAATATTAATTTATTCCAGATGTTTCTTCATAACATTGATCTAACATGCCCTCTTTTTTTAAAAATTATGGAATAATAAAAATAATTTATAAAACCCATATCACAGGTTTAGTTAATATCACTTTTTGCAATAGATTATATGAATTCTGTGAGGTTTTGTATCATTGCTTGGTGTGGCTCAGTTTTCAGTTCATCCTTTTCCAACATTTTTGATAACATCATATAAATTAGTATCATAATATTTCAAGATTGAAAAGTTTCAAAAATGTTGAAAATTTCATGAGAGAAATATATATATAACTTCAAATATAATGTTAGAAATATCAAAAACAAGGTTAAAATAAGGATAAAAATTATCAAAATTAAATTGACACCATCAAACCTTTATTGAATTACTTCCATAAATTATAAAATAATATCGATTTTTATTTTTTTATTTTTTTAACTTTAAGGTTTGAAAACCCTTGTGCTTCTTTTAAAAGAATATTATAGGTCTTCTACAGTATACAAACCCTTCCAGAAGTCCGACAGTCATCCTGAACGATGATTTTCAATCCTTGTGTGTTGATTTCCAGAATGCAAGGCGAAGGGGGGTTGAACTGCATTGTCGTTCGTCTGTTTGATGCTATCTGTTGACATAATCAGATTGCATATGAACATCAGATTACATATGAACAACATCATGTCATTGTAATTATGTAAATATATGGAAATCCAGGGCAGAATTATAATGCAGAAATGGATTAGTATACCTTGTGCATGGCGGCACAAAGCACATCATTCCCTTTGTGATACGGAACTTGAACAGAACCAAGGAATTTTACCCAGAATTTGTCCATCCAGTCACTTTTGACCTCTGCATAAATCACAGCAGACAGAAAAGGCCATTATTCCTCAATGCACAAGATACAAAAGCTTAAACACTTAAAATACTTATAGCAAAGCCAAGATGTACCTTTAACAAGTTCATCCTTTGTCACCTTGACGGCATAAAATGCAGGGAAGATGCCTTTGGATCCAGTGCGCATGTTGTAGGCCTCGCACCATAGATCCTCGGCCTGCACCTCAACCAGTAAGGGGTCATCTGCCTCCAACTCCAACTCATCATCATGGCGAGGACTAAACCTGTAAACAAGCCAAAATTTGGTTTAGGGTAACAACCAATGAGTAGAGTGTCTATTTGAAGAAAAATATATATTTGCATAGTTTGTCCTATTACTCATGTTGTGTTTTATTTGGGGGGTGGGGGGAGGGTGTCGATGGCTGGTTTTACTGTTGTTGGTATGTGGGTGAAATTCACAGTAAAATAAAAAAGATTATTATTTTCATGACAATTTAGCACATTTTAAAATATATATTAATAATAATAGCAACAATAATAATAAACAAATGCAGTATTACAGTTATGCTCTTTGCATAACTGTCAAAAAAAGTAAAAAATAAATAAAAAAGCAGAAAAATAAATAATAATAATGGTCCCAAAAATAGGCTTCATTAAAAAAAAAAATTCTTCCTAAAAATTTCTTGGCCAGGATATGTTTCAATATCCCTTTTAAGTCACATGGTTACTTTCTTGTTTTTTTTAAACGGTGCATCAAGAATTTGATTGAATTCTTACCTGAACACTGCTCTGTGGCTCTGTTCTCTTTCCTCTCCATTAATAACACAGGAGAAGAATCCAAACTCAGCAGCTGAGTGGGAGAACAAACGTTCATTGTCACAACAAGAACAACAAAGGATAGAGACATTTCGGTAGGAACTGCTGGCTGAATTTCATCATCTTGATCCTGGCTGGTGAAAGGCGGGTCTGATATTAGCAAACCCATAAATGAAGAAAACCTGTTGTTCTTGCAAAGTCTTGGCAGAAGTATTCCTGAAGGGGTGCCACAAGGTTCAACCCTTGGCCCTTTGCCATTCTTTCTGAGCCTTTCTCACACCGCTCTTGCCTTCACTTGGTGTATCCACTGCATATTATTGTAACATACCAGAAGCCAAAAATAAACTCATAAACTTGGCATTGTGGACAGTGGAAGTGTTTCATGATCAAAGGTAGCCGAAGCAGCCACGAGAAATGGCTAAACAAATTTTAGAGTACTTACAATATTTAAGATCTGTACACATTTGCAACAACCCCTATGTTAAGAAAATTATTTTATTTTTTAAAAATAAATTCAAATGAATTATTTTCTAAATTCCAAATCAGCTTCTATTACCCACCAGAGAAACGTGACCGTCCATTCACAAAGACGTTCATGAACTTGCGGGAACGGGGCATGTCTGAGGTGGTGTCTGTGGTGGAATCCGCAGACAAACAGGAAGTGTCTCTCCTCATGCTTCTCGCTCCCGACTCTTCCTCCTCTTCGTCCACTTCCTGATCCTCCTCGTCCTCATCGATGGCAGACTCATAGACGGTATTGTCACTGTCACTTTCGTAACCTTTGTAGCAGTCCTTGATACTCACTAGCTCGAGCTTAGCATGCTCATCCACCACCAGGGTGTACTTAACTGAGTCATACGTCAATCCCGAAGCATCCGTGCTGACCGCCACTGCCTTTAAGTTCCCTGTGTCCTCCTTCACCAATTTAGGCTTATGGGTTTCAGCCCACTGACAAGCGTCCCCCACATTTCTGAGGCTGACAGTCCGGCATGGGGGCGTGGGTGGGTATACCTCATCCTCCTCACTAATAGACGGGTTCGGACACCCCGCTGATGGGTAGTAGTGAAGCAGAGGAAGCTCTGTGTCCGAACTAATGGACATGCGGTTGCTGTCGCTGCTCTGGGACAGAAATGGTCGCTCTTGTTCACCGTTGACTGGTGTGAGGTGGATCTCCTCTGTTGCATTTCCTTCTGAAATGTGATAGTCCTTGTTTTTGTCGACCAACTGGTCACACGTACCTTCATTCTCCGCAGGATACTGCACTTGTTCCCGATAGCCATTGACGGTGTGATACCGCGCTTTTTCCTTGCAAATGGTTGGGATGTCAAGGACACCCTCTATCAGGGTCGCTTCCGTGGATTTTTCCCTCATGACTGTCTGCGTAAGGGGTGCTACCACATTGGGCTTGTTCAAAGGCTCGGACAACTTATCCTGCTTCTTGGTGTGAAAGGCTGAGGCTTTGTTCGTGGAGGAGGCAGGGCCCCGTGGTTTGGTGCCAGCCCTGGCCTGAACTTTGTCCCCATCGGTCAGGCTAACCTGCTCAGGTTTGACCGCGGGATCTCCTGTTTCACACACACACAGAAGATTATACATTAGGCAATAAGCCTAATGGAGAAAAACATCTGAAGAGGATTATGTAAAATGTCAGTTAATGCCACAGTTAAAGCCACACCAAATGCCAAGTTTAACTCAGCACAGGAAGTAATGAATCCTGATTACTTTTAAACCAATGTAGAAGGTGAATATATGATATATATGTTATAATATATGAAGGTGAAGCATGTAATTTTGTCAACTGAAGAAAGGTACCATCAAATAATATGAGATCAAAGCTTCCTTAGCACCAAATGTATGAACCTAAAATTAAAACAGTAATGCATTTTAAAATCGTAATGCAATGGAAGTAGCAGCGACAGTAGTTTTTATCCATATTGTGACGTACATTCAAATGAAACACATTATCGAAAAATAAAATATTGTTCAATCCATCGGTTGCTGATCGGAAGGAGCCAGATCTTAATTGGAGAAGTTTGTCACCAGAAAGAAGTCTGTTGTTTCACATGTCATTAGCTTTACAGTATCCAAACCTTTTTTCATACTGGAAGAGTCAGACACAAGTTATATCTGATGAACTCTCTGGGTAAGTAGATTGACGAAAATCCCATTAAGCTAATTACAACACGTAAACACTTTTTCATTCCATGGAAGCGAATACTACAAAAACACCTACAGTATGAACAATAATACACCTACATCTTGTATTTCTTTCATTTATCTCATGGTAATTCCTCTAATGCATAGAAGTGATTATGGAAAATTACTTGTTTGGAAAATTCAAGTCTCAGCAATTCTTCAGACATGTTCATTTGTGTGGTGTGAGTGGCCATTACTCACCCTTAATGTGTGGTGATGAAGAATGGGTTTTCTTTTCTTTCCTCCGCTCTTTCTCACCAAAGGAATTGTTATTTATTGTGTCCTGCGATTAAAGTAAAAAGAATGAGGGATAGGTTTGTCAATATACAAAATGCTGAGAGAGTCAATTTGGTTTAGATTAACACTTGCAAAAAAATATACCAAAACTAAATATACAATATACAATTTTTGGATATTTCTAAAATAAATCAATAAAAAGGTATATTTATTGCTTTTTTAATTGTTTTACTTAAAATATATAAAATTGAAATCAAATAAAAAAATAAAAATGTATAAAAAATTACACTAAAACACAGACAGACATGTACATCCCTCCATCTTGGATAAATCATGTGATTTTGTCAGCATTGCTAATTGTCACCACATTTTAGGTGCTTTTCTATCATATAGTGAAACAGAAACTATATTTGACTACAGTCCATAAAACGAGAGAGTTACAGGAAGAGCAATCTGACCAATAGATTTACTGCTCTTTCCTGACGCTGACTCACGAATTGACCACGCTATAATGCACCTTTAACACTGACACTCCTATGTTGTCATAGCAACGCACCCAATTGATGATGTAGGAATTGGCATGCGTGAGAGCATGTGTGGGGGTAGATGGGAACACACAGTAGTGTTCGTGATGGAGAAAGACGACACAGATGGCTGATGTGATGCTCTTATTTAGTGACACTAAAACGGTATGAGGAAAGAAACCAGATGGAGAAACTCTATCATCACAGTTCATTGCTATCTAGTTTATTAATCGGAGCCTGTCTCAGTTTATTACTGTAGGTCTACTAATATCAGACTAGAATTAAGTAATCTTTATCTCTGCAGGAAATAAAATAGGTAACATTGAAACTTGAGAAAGACGTTTCTCAAAGAATTGACAGTTATATAAACTGTTATCTATATGCTATATACACAGTTACCTATATGCTACTATCATATATACCGTTATCTATATTCTAATGTACTCCTAAAAGTTCCTTTAGCAGATTTAAAATTCATATTATTGGTACTGAAATATTGATGACTCATCCTCCGCTACACTGTTTCATCCAATCAGATGCTTTCTAGTGTAAGAATGTCCGTAAACCTAAAAATATTAACTAAAGGCCATTGGCTCTTTTTTTAAAGGGACTACTTCTGCCCAAACATACAATTTCAATAGGAAATTTGAAAAAAAGCAAGTTAATTTATTTAATGAGGTCTTTAAACAGTCAAAAAGGCAGCCAGTTTTAATACTTATCCACAAAATTCAATCAAATCCAAATAAATTAATAACAAAAAATGTGAAATTGTCAAATTCAACAAGAATTTGTTGAATCCTGGTGCATAAATCTTTGGTGCATGTTATTTTAAGTAAAAAAAAAAAAAGTCTTTATAATATTTTATCAAAATGAACATAACTTGCTCTGCATCTAAAACGACCTTCCTTTTTGGATGAGATCACAAAGCCCCTCCAATTCCATTCAGGTATGCCATGACCACTTTTAAAAATATTTCCTCGTAAAATCAAGTCTTTACATTTTTAATGGTTGAATATTCCATTTCTATCAGAAATGTGTCAGATTACAGAAGTGATAGAAATAAGTTGTCAATAGCGCTTCACATTGATTCTTAGGGTTTCAGCCATAGACTGTAAAAAAAAGATGGACGACGCGTCTCCACTTTCTTCCACTATAGAAAAGTGAAGCCAAAGCATCTCAGTATGGCCGCTGCCATCTTGAGCAAATTACGTCATTTGGAGCCAGAGTCTGCGCAGTAGAGATTTGTTTGGAGCCAGAGTCTGCGCAGTAG